TTATGTATTATCTTCATTTTGTGCATCAAGTATGACACTGATTTACATAGAAAAAAAAGACACGCTCGTTTACTTTATCTCTGTATATGATGACGAAAAAAAAAACGATAGATTTCTTTTTTTATTAGCTTTAAAATTTGTATTAATTTGAGATTTACTATTTGTTAATTTTAGAAATAAATAATAGAAAATACTTGAATGGTGGTACATGTTTTGATCGATCATCTTCAGTTGCACGAATTTTATAATCAGGAAAACTAGCTCTTAGATGTTTAACATCAATAAATGTATCATTCCAATCTAATGTAGGAATTTTATTTTTCATACTAAAAAAACAAAAAAAAAACATTATGAAACGTAAGAATTATTATTATTGTTTTTCATTACTTTGTATAATGAGCTGATGCTGGATCACCATAACCTAATATTAAATCTTGTAACCAATCAGGTACAACAGCATTTGTATTCATTAAATCACGTATAGTTTCTAAAACAGCTTTAAAATTATTTTCTTTTGGTTTTCTTCTCATTAATATATTAAATGTATCATAAACATCTTCTGATCCATTTAATGTTGCTTGAATATCAGCTTGATATTGATTTGGATCAAGCCATACACGCCATGTACGTGTATCACCCGAAAATACTGGTTTTTCATCAACACCTTAAACAAAACAAAAACAATAATTAAATTAGATTTAAAAAAAAACAAGGAAAATATTCATTTTACCTTCTTCAATAACTCGTCCATCTATATTTAACATTCCTTCAATTTCACAACCTCGTACATATGTAAGACCAACTTGTGGTATAAATGGTTGTCGATAATCATATGTTGTTCCAACTTTTGTTAATGGTTTACATGTAATTAAAAAACAAATATCATGTCGACGTAAATTTTCCCATTCTTGTTTTATATCAGCACGTGTATTAAGTACAAGTGTAACATCAGCTCGAACACGACTTGGATGTAATTCACCTATATTTGCTTTACCAACTTCAACAATAGTAAAATTTGTTATTGATTGTGCCATACGTGACCAACCACCAAATATACATTGTTGTTGTGGTTGATCTGTTTTATCATTTATTATTGTTGCATCATTTTGCCATGGTTTCATACGACTAACTGAATCTTCAATATCTTGACGTATTTCATATGTTGATTCAAGACGAAATAAATGAAAATTACGTAAAAGATAATCATGTAATGTAAGAAATTGTAAATTTAATTTTGGTAATGCTAAACATGTTTCACCATTATAAAATTCTGTTGGAACAATATCTTCATCCCATATTGTTTCTTCCGTTGGATATAATGGTAATGTATTAATTGACTACAAAAAAAAAAAGAATATTAATAGATTAGAATATCTATTTTAGTAAAAGAAAAAAAAAGTTTCATGCCTTCAATAGTATGTTTTTCATTTTTTATCTGAAATTTTCAGAAGTCAAAATTTCAATATTTTTATGTGATGCAAAGATGTCCATAGCGGCGGATTTTTTCAAAGGCCATCGCGGCGCAGGAGAGATTTTTATAATGCCGTCGCAACAGCGACAGCTTTTTTAGGACAAAATTTCAAAAACTCATAAATTTACACAGAATCTCAGCGTTCATGTATGCTATACTGTAAGACTTAACGAATCTGATCGATTAGCAGTAGCAGTTCTAGTTGAGATCAGTCACAATCTTGAAAATCAAAGCATTTTTTTTTGAATACCATCGTGGCGGCAGCGGTAGCTTTTTTCTACACTTTGTCGCGGCCCGACAGCTTTCTTTGGCTTTGACCGCGGCGGATTTGCAGCCGCAATAGACATCTCTGATGTGATAACTCCTCATACAAAACCGTTAGTCTTCTCGGAAAAAGGAGTTCTTGTTTTTTTTTCTCGTACCATATTTGGTATCAGAAAATTCGATAATGTTAGAATTTTCAGCATAAATTGAAAGCAAAATGATGAATTAAACTTACTTCTAAATGACTTTGAACTCTTTCATGTTCTGATATAAGTACTTCAATTAAAAGTTCTCTATTATTAATTTGAATTGGTGGTTGAAGTGATGATGCAATAGATTTTAATTGTTCATCAGTTAATTTATCAAATTCATCATTTAATATATCACGTTTATCAATTGATTGAATATTTTGTAATGGAAATGTTGGCATTTCTTCACGAAAATGTTTAAATATAGCTGTTTGTAATTGTAAAACTTTTTCATAATGTTTTTCTATCATTTCATTTTGTGTTAATGTTTCACCAGTTGTATCATTAATTTCAAAATTTGAATAAAATTTAAAATTAGTTAACATTTTATGAAATAAATTTGCTGTTTTACTTGTTGCTTGTTGTTGTTGTTCTTCTTCTTCATCATTTTCTGTTTGAATTTTTTTTTTTATAAATGTTTGTGTAATATCAATATCCATATTTTCATTTGTTTTTGTTAATGATTTAATAAATGATGATAAAAAACAACGTATAACAAAATTAATATTATCAAGAACAACATTAAAAAAACGACGTGTTGGTAATTGTACAATTATATCAGTAAATAATTCAAGAAAACGTTCAGCATAAATAACTGTTTCATATGAATATTGATCAGTATTATTTATTGATTGTATATTTTCAATAAGATGAAGAAATTTTTCAGCTAATTTTCGAAGAAATGTTCGTTCAAATAATGTTGTTTGAAGTTCTTCATTTTCTAATTTTTCATCTTTTTTACATATTAATTTCCAAAGTTTACGAAATTTTGGTGTTTTTTGAAATTCATATTCTCGTCTTTCCTATTTATTTTTTTTTTCAATAATTAAAAAAAAAAGAAAATATTACATAATGTGTCAAACTTTTTTGTTTTCTTTTCTTGCATTCTAACTTACAGATGTTAAATTAGTCCATATTGTTAAACCAACTATTTTTTGTATTTGAGATCGAATAACATCTAATTCCTAAACAAAAATTTTTTTATTAGATTTCATAAACAATATATTTAAGTTAGTATAAAAATAAAAGCTGCGATCTAAAAAATATAATCAAGAAAGAAGAAAACATTGAAAATTTCAATTTATCGATTATTGTAAGAAGAATTGGGTTATAGGACTGTGCAACATTGGCAAATAACGGATACGAATATTTGAAATTCGCCGTTGTATTTAAGGCACTTCTCTCTCCAAAAAGTCACTTTTCGCTGGAATCATCTAAATTTATGGAGAAATAGTCCGTCACCTGCTCTTTCATATGAAAAAATTTTGGAAGATCTTTGTCATGTCCTATTCGAAAAACAAGCTTTTTTTTACAAAAAAACTGAAAAGCATTTTTCATCTTTCTCAAAACATAGGTTCAACAACGTAGCGCCAGCAGAATTCTATCATAGTAAAAGATAAAGTCACATATTTTTTTTTTAATTTGAAACCTTGTGTCTAGGTTTAGTCCTCCTCGTGGTCCTTTTTATTTTCATATAAGAAAATACTTCTATAAAAACAGAGTCATTCTTTTAGGATTTTTTTTTTGAGTCATTAAACTTGTCATCGCTTAAAAACTAAGAATGTAAAAAAAAAAGGGCCACGAGAGGGGCTAGCGCTAGAGACAAGCTTTCAAACAAAAATAAATATTTGACTTTATCTCTTACTATAATAGAGTTCTGCTGGAGCTACGGCAGAGCTATTTTTGACCCTTGTTTGGCGAATATCTCTGTCAAACGTCATGATATAGGGCTGAAAATTTTACCATAGCCATAGCTCACTACTCTCAACGTATTCTGAAAGTTTCATATAATTTGGATGTTCGTGTGCTGAGGGGAAGGGACCTTAAGCGACGTTTCTGATATATATTTCATTTCTCTATCATTAATATTTTATAATAAATTAATCAATGCAGTTTTAAATTCTTCTAAATCAACAGTATTTTTCATATACTTACAAGACTGTTAAAACAATGATCAAGAAACATAATTAAAATAGTTTGTTCTTTTATGGATAATTCATCACCTTCCAAACATAAATGCATAACACGAGAAAGAAATTTACCAAAATGTTCTGGATGTGCAGTTATTGCCTAAATAAATTAAACAAATATATATGAAATAGAATAATCTCTATTATAAAAAATACATACATCCCATGGTTGTACACGTTCACGAAATTTTTCATTAACCATAACACATACAGACATAACATGATAAGGTGAACACTAAAGAATTCTTTTAAATATTTATTTTCAACAAAAAAAAAACAAAATCAAACTTTACTTGATCTGGATTTAAATTTGGCCATAGAAAATTTTCTAAATATTGGCTAAATTCTAATAGAATAATTCGACGAAGATTAAAACTAACAAAAATATAAATAAATAATCAGAATCAATAAAAACAAAAAAAAAACACAATAATTTCTTATTCTTACTTAGTACCCAATAATTCTTTTATATAAATTTCATCAACAACTAATCGATCATATGCACGTCTTTGTAATGCATATGATGCCCAATATTGTTCCGAAAGCTTGAAAAAAAAACAGAATTAAACAAATAATCATTTTCATTATTTTGTTTTTACATACAAGTGTAATTCGATCTTTACTAATTTGTTCAACAGTTGGTGCTGTATTCTGACCTCGTGGCATGATCTAGAAACAAAAATCTACATACACACATAATCAAGAAACAAAAAAACCAAACATCTTCCTTCTTTTTTTTTTTATTGAGATAAATAAATAAGGTTTTAGTTAAACGAGCTAAGAATATAACAATGAGAATAAGAATGCTCGCTATTTCAGAACAAAAAAAAAAAAAAAAAGAAACTCTGTGTGACTGCTTACACAATAGACATGATAAAAATGAATAACGGAAATGAAAACAAGCAAACACACACACACACGCGCGCTCGCACATATATTATTATATCTATATGTATGTATCAATTGGAAATCCAATGATGAAGAAAAAAAAAAAAAAAACCAAACAAACAAACAACGAATCTTTCTTTATTTTTTTTTTTTTGTTTTCTATTGAAGAATATTTCGAATTTCACGATGTAAATGATAAAGAAAATCAACATATGATGCACCACCTGTGAAACCTTTATCTTCGATAAGATAATTTTTAAAAAATGGTTCAATTGAATCACGTTGTTGAATAATAAAAAGCTTAAAAGAAAAATAATAATTAATTCATTTCAAAAAAATAACAATAAAATCTTCTTTTTTTTTTGTCTATCTTACTTTCATAAAAGTATCTCGTTCATTACGAATTAAATTTAATAATGTTCGAACTGTTTTTGATATTGGATTATCAAGATCAACAATACGACACTAAGATAACAAAAAAAAATAATATTTAAATCAAAGAAATTATTTAATATATGTACTTTTTCTGGTTGAATATGTGATGTTTGAATACCAAATAATGATTGTACAAATGTTGGATTAATTTGACTACCAAGCCAAATATACATTACAATACCATTTTCTACAAAAGTATCGATTATATAGAAATTCATTTTTAATTCAAAATTAGGAGTAGAAGTATTTTACGAACACTTCAGATACATATATATATTTATATACGTTGAATTAGATCCTAATGGATCTACATCGGAAAATTTTCAACTCAATAAACTCTGATCGTCCGAGGAGTGTATAGAAAAGGAGAACAATAAAAAATATCTTCGAGATGAGTCTTTGCAACCGAGTTAGGATAGTTTTACTGAATTCTATGGATAAATATAAAAAAATCAAGTAATGGTATTTCAAACTAAAATTTTGTCTATAGATAGTTTTAATAACCCCTTAGAATATCTTGGACGTTTGAACGGAAAGAAATGTTTTTCTTTGTCGAGATATTAACTCTTTTTCTAGTGTTACCGAGCTCCTATTGTGCGTTCAATATGCGCTCAAACGACGGATGTTAATTATTATTATAAAAATTCGATATAAAACTACAATACTGTTGTTTGCTCAGTGTTTTATCTAGGTGTCGTTTCCGGAGTGGGCGGCGTCCACTCGGCCCACCCAGTAGAACGAATGGCTGCTGTATATTTTCGAGTGAGCGAATCAAAGTTTCGGGTCGGCGGCGCCCACCCAGTAGATAAATCACTGTGCTTGCTACAGTAAATGGACTTATCGTTCATGGTTTCTTTCTGTCAATATAAGGTTAGAAAGAATGACAGAATCAGCTATTCGCATTGTTATCGAAGAGTACTCTGCATGGAATAAAATCTAGTCTTACAACGATCGATATCAAATACTAAACATATTCTACTATAAGTCATTATGAATAGTTCGATCTTGAAAGAACATGTTAATAGCAAAACTCAACATATAATATATACTGATTACATATTATTAAAGACTGTATTATGTAACGAACATTAATCATGACTATGACAATATTTGTTTATTTCTTATCTATAAAATATTCATACCAAGAACATAAGCTCCTGTTTCCGAAAATCGATCATATGAACAACGAATCATTGGTGGTGGTAAATGATCTTCTTCCAAATTATGCTAAATATAAACAAAAAAAAAATAAATTCTATCTAAAAATAGTTTTGTATTATACAAACCAATGCATAAACTCTTGGATATAGATATGCAAATGTTCCTTTAATACCCATAGACATTAATCGATGCATTAATAAATTTCGATCATCAGTTGTGACTGTTTGAGCTAAAATTTCCAAATAAATAAAATATCATATTTCTACAAACAAAAAAACATACTTCCAGTTAAAGCATCACATTTAATTAATGAAGTAACATAAACTGGTAATAATTTTAATGTTTCAGGTAAAATTAATTGTCCAGCTGTTGTTGATTGTGCACAATTTTTTCTATAACATGCTAACATATTTGCTGCTTGTGTTATTATACTATCACGTATACTCTTCGGAGTTGATACTGTTATTGATCGTATAGCTTAAATTAAAAAAAAAATACGAAAAAAAAAAGGTAGTTTAAATTTTTGAATATATATGTAAGCTTCTTTTATACTAACCAACTTTTGTTATATAATTCATAATTGTATCAAGATCACAAGCTGGATAAAGTGTTGTATATGAAGATGTAACTGTTAAAGCTAATGTTAATATACGTAAACGACGTTGACCTGATATACTTGTATAAAGTAAAGCAGCCTATACATTAAAAAAAAAAATTTTCAAAAAATTAAATAAAATTAAAATTTACTTGAATATAAGTATTGCTTTCAACAGGTAATTTATCATCATGTTTTAATTCAACACATACAGATTTATCCGAATCAATACTACCAAATATCATTTCAGTAGCATTTGTCATATAGAAATTACCAAGAAAATCAATTGGTCGTATGCCTAAATAAGTCAGAAAAACACAAAACTGAGATTTAGTAGTCTCTAGGAAAGCTTTTTTTTATTAATAGTAAGCGAACTAGAGGAATTCCTATGATACATAAGAAAAGTATGAAGAACTTACAATATTTTTTTTAGCATGATTAATTTCTGTATTAGAATTAAAGAACATACCTGCACTTGTTCGTACACGCATTAATGCATCAAAAACTGTTGTACGTTGAAAATTTCTTTTTAATTCATCTAATAATCTTTCACCATCATTTTCAATCTATAATAAATATTTTATCAATTAATAAAAAAAAAAATAAACATTTTTACTGAAAAATAATTAAATTTATAAATTTGTCCACCAGATACACGACAAACTTCACCAATTGTTGCTAAATCAAGATAATTATTTGGAAAAACAAATAAATCAACAGCACAACCATGTTGTGCACATTCTTCACCAAGTTTTGTATAAATATTATTAACTGGTGCAAGAAGTGTCTAAATTATTTATAAACTTTTTTTATTAGAAATAAATAGAAATAAATTAATTAACAAACTTTTTCTTTATCAGTTCCAAGTAATTTTTTATCATCTCGATTTGTTAATTTTCCCGGTGCAACAGATATTGGTAATGTTGTTGAAAAAATATAAATTTTACCTGCACAATTTGCTTCCTATATTAGATTTTATATAGAAAGAATGAAAAACAAAAAAAAAAATGATCTACTTTTAATGCTTGAATACCGGATTGAATAACCGGTGCTAAAATTGTTTCTGTTTCTTGTGAATTAGCAAAATTTTGTGGAATTTGATCAAGTAAACTTTAAAAAATAAAGAATTAATATTACTTAACGAGAAGAAATAATAAAAGTATACGAAGCATTCGATAACAAATTCATAGAATTTCACTCTTAAATTTTATTATTTCTAATGTTTTTCAATCATTTTGTTTTGACTACTTTCAATCATGATTCATATTTTTGTGTACTCAAAAAGTGAGTACACTATAGAATCGGTCAGTGTGTCCGACCGGTCGTTTACACGATAACTTTCGAAAGGAGAGTCAGATCGTGATGAAATTTTCTACACAGTTCAGTCTCAGTCGAGTTCGAAGATGAGAAGGATCCGTTAAGAAATGGCTGAGTTATCGAAAAAATTGTCATTATTGACCAGACCATCCCTGAGGGGGGGTACAGGGATTTTTTTCAAAAAGAAAATTTTTTCTCAGAATTATTCACAACATATATAAATCGACTCAGTTTTTAACGCTGATTCCGAATGTGATATTAGTTTTGAACCAAATCGTAGTTTTCTAACAAAACATCGCCTGAAAAAGGTCTCAAAATGCACAAAAACTGCGTCCAGAAAGCAAATTGCCTAGATATGTCTCAGATGATAAAAAACAAAGTGAATATACCTGTTCACTTTTTGAAGTATACATAACACTCGGATTTAAATCCGAGGTTTTCGCATTTTATTTTTTTTGAAATCGAATTGATTCTATTACTGTTATTTACATAAGGATATGATTAGTGATAAAAAGTTGATACTAACAAACTTTTTATCGAGTACTTCATATACTCATTGATTTTAGAATTTGTTTTATTTAAATTTTTAATTACCTATTTATAACTCCACGTGATTCTTCTGGTGTACTAAGAAAACCATCAAGTAATGGTACAAATATATCTTCAAGATCCGAAACTATCATCATTTGTGGTTGTCCAAGTGTATTCTAATAAAACACAAAAAAAAAAAAATCATAGTTTTGATTTTAATAAAATAAAAAAAAAAACAGAAGAACAAAAACTTATCTCATCTAACGAAAGAACATTTTTACATGCAAAAGAATTATAATAAACAGCTATTAGGAATACAAAGCATTAAACAATATTAATAGATAAAGACATGCAATTTGTTTTCTATGACAAAACAACAAAAACAAAACAGATTCTACTTGCCCCCTAGATGAAAAAGATATTTGTCAAAGAAGTTTTTAATAAATCCGAAACAAAAACAAAAAAAAAAAATTTTGATTATCTTACTTTAATATTATAGAAATGTATTTGTTTATCAAATGTTGCAAAACCAACACGAATATTCGATGTTTCAGCAGTTTTATCTCTGTAAGAACCAAAAAAAAAAAACACATATTTTCGAAAATAAAAATATTAAAGCAAAACAAACTTTGGTAAATAATTCAAAAGTTCAGTTTTTAATATATGACATATATATTCAACAAGACCACTACGAACACTACTATACGATACATCAATCATAAATATAAATGCTGGTGGTTCAGGCCATTTTTCATCCTAGAAAAAAAAAAAATTCATTAAATCTTCATTTCAAATTTTTGTTCTGAGTATGCTTAGATTTTTCTGAGAGAAAAAAACACAATTTATATTTATAACCAAATGAGAATTTTCAAACGATACAAATCTTTCTTTAACATCTCTAGAAACTATTCCGATATGGTTATTCATTAATTACTTTTTTAATTAATAATCATGTGAAAGAACCTGTATGTCTACACTAAAAGAACGTATGCAGACAAATAATCTTTGAAAAGAATCAAGATGAGTGAGTGCTGTTTCGTTTGAAATGATCTATATTTATATTTCAAACAAAACTGTATTGTAACAAATATTCTTTCTTAATAATGAAAATGCAAACTAGATTGAAATGATTTACAAAATGAAGTTTAAATAGAATATTTGTATTAAGCATGAACTGAATTCAAATGTTCGAATTTAGTTTTGATCGTGTTCATTTCCAGTTAACTGAAAAAAAAAGGAAGATAAAATTGAGAATTTCTGATTTGAATATAATAGAATAAATGATTTCAAAATCAAAGGTCTGTATAGATACTTTGAAAAAGTGAATAATGTTTAGAAATCTTCAAATTCGAACTTAAATATTTCTATGATGTACTTGAAGAAGCTCTTGGACAATTACTCAATACTGTTTCTCAACTCGAAAAATGTTTTGCGATTGAATCATTACACTCTCGTCATTGTCGATTCGAACCTTTTTCAACAATGCGATACTGTCCATTATAAACATTCAGAAAGATCTGAAGAATGGATTATTGACATAGATAAAATATTAAAAAAAATCAATGTTTAAAATTTTGTTCGAAAAATGATCCCATATGTAATAAAGAAATATCGTTTGATAAATTTTTTATTATGATTAACATACTTTACAATATTGTTTTGTTGCTAAAATTTCATATGAACCAAGACAAAGTTCTGGTCGTTGATACCAATCCATACGACGACCACTATGATCAAGATGAGTAAAATATTCAGTAGGTACTATAGTATATATATTATGAAAAAAAAAAAAGAATTATTTTTTGAGGAAAAAAAAAAGGAAAATATCGTTTATCTAACCATCAGTTGCAGCTTCACAAAAACAACAAATAAAACGTTTACCACCATCAATAAATTGCATAAATGAACACATATAAGCTTTACAACGATGACATCGTATTGGACCTATTTCACCAAAATTAGTAACTGGTGGTTCAAGCTAAAAGAAAATTTATTAATGAAAATTAATTGATAAAATTAAAATTACTTCATCCGATCGTAGATTAGCTAATGGACTAATAGCAAGTGCAACTGGTATATGAGATTGTTTAGTCATATCAGTTGCATTTGGTATAGCATATGTTGTTGAACGAATAAAACGTGGATTACAACTACCTTGATCTTGACAAATAAAATCTGTTGCTGCTAATGGTGGTAATAAACCAGGTGCATTAGTTATAAATGGTTCTTGATTTTTTTCTTGACTTTGTTCGAGAACTTGAACCTAGAAAAAAATTTTTTTTTTAGAATTAAAAATATTCTAATATAAATTAGATCAAGATAAACTTATACGTACTACATTAGGTACCATATCAGGATCAATACGTTGAGATTGATATGGCTGTTGTATGGGTCCAGTTGATGGTGGTTGACCAGGATATGTATTTGGTCCATTCAATTGACTACCTGGCATAGTTGGTGGACCAGATAGATGTGGTTGATTAGGATAATGTGGTGGCAATTGTTGTTGAGGATAATTAGTTGATGATAGTGGTGGTTGACTGCCTGGAGGAAATGAAGTTGGAGGAGCATTGTAAGATGGTTGACCACCAGGATATGTACTTGGTCCATTTAATTGACTACCTGGCATTGTCGGTGGAGCAGATAAATTTGGTTGATTAGAATAATGAGGTGGCAATTGTTGTTGAGGATAATTAGATGATGGTGGAGGTGGTTGACTACCTGGATGAAATGAAGTTGGTGGAGCATTATGAAGAGGTTGACCACCAGGATGAACATTTGGCCCATTCGATTGGTTACTTGGCATTATTGGTGGACCTGATAAATTCGATTGATTAGGATGATGAGGTGGCGGTAGTTGTTGAGGATAACCAGCTGATGATGGTGGCGGTTGACTGCTCGGAGGAAATGAAGTTGGAGGAGCATTGTAAGATGGTTGACCACCAGGATATGTACTTGGTCCTTTTGATTGAGTACCTGGCATTGTTGGTGAAGCAGATAAATTTGGTTGATTAGGATAATGAGATGATGGTGGTTGTTGAGGATAACTGTTTTGTGGTTGACTGCCCGGAGAAAATGCAGGTGGAGGAGCATTGTGAGGAGGTTGACCGCCTGGATATGAATTTGGTTCATTTGATTGACTACCTGGCATTGATGGTGGACCAGATAAATTCGATTGACTAGGATGATGAGGTGGTAATGTTGGTTGAGGATAGCTACTTGGTGGTAGTGATGGTTGACTGTTTGGAGGAAATGTAGGTGGAGGACCAGTGTAAGGAGGACGAGAACCAGGATATTGTGCTACGCCGCCCATGCCTGATGGTGGTTGATTAGCAAATGGAGCTTGTTGTTGTGAAATTTGAGGCGTCGGAAATGTTGGAGGTGGGCCGAATTGATTAGATGTAAGAGGTGCGGCACGCATTTGATTAGATGTTGTTGGTGGTCCTTGATTGGGATAAGTTTGCTGCATCATTGGTTAATCTTTAAAAAATGTATAGTTGTGTGTGTGTGTATATATGTCAAGATATGTGTGTATCAGTTTATTTCAAATAATAACAAGAATAAATAAAAAAGCCAGAAAGTGACATGAAATAACAAGATGAAACAATACAGAGAATAATTGTAGTGTATGCGTGGACGTTTTTCTATTGGTTGCTGATCACCATTCTGTCATACATAGGTCGTCACTGATAATGAATTATTTGAAATATTTTAAAATAAAAATTAATAAATAATATGAAAAATAGGCTTTTCATAGAAAAGTTACAAAGCAAAGAAAATTACTTTGAAATCTTCAGTTCTTTTTATATTGACATTCTCGACTCTTAACGACATCTCTGACATGGCAAGCAATTTTTCGACAACTATGAAATTAATATTAGATTCTCTAATGAATGAGTTGAAGACGGAGTCGAAAAAAAAGTAGAATAGTTACTACTCTAGTATTTAATTTTATATTTGTAACAGACCAGTCGAGAAGATCAAGATGATTGAGAGATTCAGATAAAAATTATTAATGTGATACGAAGCACGACATTTACGTATATTTTGCTGTAAAATGTCTCGAGATGATACAAACGTTTTTGAATATTCAATATGAATTTTCATTTGTCTTCAGTAAATTTCACAAAATGGTGATTGTGACGGTATGGCCTCCATCTTCTCCCTGAGATAATTAAAATTGCTGAACTAGTCTCGAGAACAGAGAGTTAAAACATACTCAGATAGATGTTCTTGTACTGCTCTATTCACGCATCGAATAAACTAATAGATTTTTAGATGCTAGAAATAGCAGGAATAAAAGAAAACTTATTGCAATTACAGCAACAGAGTAGATATCTATCTCACTATAACAAAAATATATAATTTACATGATATTATGTGTTTTGATTTCAAACATAAGAGTTTCCTACAGAAAAAAAATTCTTCACAAATCTTCACTGTTAAAATAACTATTACGTTCTTCAATCTATGAATGGTATATACATAGAAGACGTGTAGAACAATTTTTCAACATAGAATTTCTATTCAAATAGAATAAACGATATATTAAACAGTAAAATTAGGTATATGATACTATTTACAAATGAATAATTGGAAACTTTTGAAAGAATGAAAAACGATACTCAAATATGTAATCTAATGAAGCCCAGAAGTTTTTAGATCATCTGTAGTCTGTCTAAAAAAAGGTGGCCATGACCATTTTTACCATAATTCAAGAACGAAAAGAGCTAGAGAGCTGCGGTTTTCATTAATTGAAAGAAGAGACATTGAGACGTAATTGTATACTATAAAATCATTTTAAAATCAACGATTTTTATAAAACATCCAAAACAATGCACAATATTCTCTGTCATTGAGATGAAGTTTTTGAGGCAAAGAAAATTTTGCTTAAAAATTAAGTAAAATCCATATTTTTCGAGGAAGCAAATAGAGAATTATATTTGCTTAACATAAGAATGTGTGAATAAATATGTAGAAAATATCGACCTTATCAGATCCTAGAACTTGACAGCATCGAAAATGCCATGATTATTTAATCATAATATATTGTTTCATTCGATTTTAAGCCTTTATCTTCCTTTTTTTTTTTAATACAAGTACAAAGGGGAAAAAAAAAATTAGGAAATCGGTTAAATCATATCATGAGAATCAAAAAACTAATCAACAGAAGGAAATAGAGAACAAAACAAAAAAACTTTCACGCGCACACTTGCACTGAAACACATATATGTATATATATAAAAGACAATAAACTGCATATAATAACAAACGAATCCAAAAAACAAAAAAAATCACAAGTTTATCATCTTTTTTTTTTTGTTTTCTTTGCTAAAACTTGTCTTTTTCATGAAATACTGTCGTAAGTTCTTAAAATAGAATACCAACTGACATATTCATATAAAGAGATTTGTATGAAGAAAAATCGACGGAAAACAAAACAAACTTTGTATATATAAATATATATATATACGTATAAATCTATACAAAAAAAAGAAAAACACATTCGAGAAAGATTTAACATTCAGTACCATGAACAATTGGTGATGTTAATGTTTGATATCTTGTTTGTTGTTGAATAGAAGATGGTGTAATATAATGTTTTTGTAAACTATTTTGTCTTGATTTAACAAGACCTGAACGTATAGTATCACCATTAGGTAAACAAACAACATCTGATTGACCCATACCAGAATCTGTTGATGAAACAGGACGTTCTTCATATAAAAATGATGAATTATCAGAATTAGGATTATTTAAACGTGTACGAGAATTTGAACGTGAACGTGGTTTAGGTAATGGTAATGGACTTTTATCGAGATTTTCAATTGGTAAACGAAGTGAACTTAATGTTGAATAACGTGGTTTAGGTGGAGGTGGTACATATCGTTTTGATGATGATGATGTTGGAACAAGAAATGAACCACTTTCTGATAAAACATCAGTTGTTGTTGAATAAACAGGTGATTCATTACCTTCTTCTTCATCATTTTTTATTGTTGGTACAACCATAGTTGTTGGTGATAATGGTCCATATTTATTATCAATTATAGGATGATCATAAAATTTATTATTAACTGTACGTGTTCGTATTGGTATTGAATTAACACTACTTGTGCTAGAATCTCGATCAGTATATTGTTGAAGTTTTTGTTGATGATAAGCAGATGTTGGATGAGAATATTTATCATTTATTAATTGTGCTGGAGTATCATAAACAGTTCCATTCTATAATAACAAAAATAATTAAGATTTATTATATAATTCTGTCGAATCAAATAAACATTCTTCATTTAATATGTCAACTATATCACATTGTAGAATTATTTATGATACATCGAATAACATATGGATTCACTATTTTAATTAGAGTACATATCAAATCAATAAATATAATTATAGATATTTATGTTATTTGATGTGTTAAAAGTTGTTCTACAAACTTTTTGAAATGAAAAAACATTTATCTTATTCGATAAGATTCTTTATATGAATTTTATTTAACATATCGAACAAACCTGATGAAGACGTTTATCATTTCCATTAGCAACTAAATGTGCAATTGTATCGTCTAAAATAATATTACAAAAAATTTCAAATTAATTATATCAATAATATTATCATAGATTTGATTAATAAATATTAGCATAAGGGATCACTATTATTTTCTACATAGTATCTTACCAGTTGATGGTTTCAATGCTTCACTCTCGGTCGATGAGTGAGGATATTCTATAAGAATATATATATAAATAGATGATTATTTTTTCTTTATCATGAAGAAAAAAACAAAATATTGTCTATTGAAGAATGTAGAATAAAAAAAAATAACCCATAGACTATACATGCATAAATCATGCGAAATATTTCTATTTCATTGTTTAGCTACAAAATTTTTGTTTTTTTTTAATTTTTATTTGCAAGTCGAAATAATAAACATACACCGACAATATAATAGAATACGATTGAATTTGCTTTCTAATGATAAAATAAATTTTTATCATCGTCGGTGAATATATATTTAATATATCAATAGATGAAAATAATTATTTTAATTTTATATTGACAAGAAAGAATTTAAAAAAAAAACTAACTTACTAGTTGCATGATTATAATCATCTTTATGTACAAGTTTGGTTTGATCACGATTACATGCTCCACAAAGACAACAAAGAAAAAATAAGAAAATTGTACCACCAAATATACTTGCAATAATAATCATAACTCTTCTATTAATAAATGGTGTTTCTCTTTGTACTAAAAAAAAACGAAAAAAATTTTCTTCTATAGTTTTTTTTTTTTTTGTTTTTAATTATTTACATATTGGTTCATTTAATCGAATAATATAACCATGAGTATTAGATGGTAATGATCCATAACGATTAAAAGCCGAAACACGAAATTCAACTGGTTCATGAAAATTTTCTAATGCAAATATACAAGATTTAGTTCGAGCTATTTCTTCAAACATTTTTTTATTTGGTTTATCATTATATTTAAATAATGTACAAGCATAACCATCATTATCACCTTGTGCATAACTTTTTATACAACTTATTGTTATAGTTACATTAGAAGTATATGTATCAACATTACAATGTGTTATTGCATCGGGTACACCTACAAGAGAATAATATATGAATCGATTTTTTTTTTAGAAAAAGTTTACAATTAATAAATATAACAAAAAAAAAGAAGTAAACCCCCGGACACATTAGAAGACCCCCACCCTGTCGTAGAGATGACCCTCCCTTGAATCAACGAAGCGAAGGATAGATGAGAAGACCCACCCATCTCCTCTGACGATCCCCTTAGAAGCAGGTTCAAGAGAGAGTCATCTCGACTATAGGGGTGGGGGTCTTCTAATGTGTCGGGGTGGGAGGGGGGGGGGGGGGATTTAATATTTGTACAATTGAAAATTTTCAGTTACAAAAAGAAATGACAAGTTTTTCAAAAAAATATCTCGTATTCATTTTATCGTACTATACGTCTTTTTTTTGCTATTAGTAAGAGACAAAAGATAATTACTATTTGACAATATAATTAATGACTATCGTCTGTTCCGAGAAGAAAACAAAGAAGGTCATAGTTACTATCGATGACATTCCATTGCCAAAAATAGAAAGTTCAATTATTACTATATAGAGAAACTTAAGATATATAGGTTAATTACGAAAATCATTGAAGCTTGAAGTCAATAGATAAAATGATAAGAGAATATGAAAGATTTTATGAATTTGATAATATTATTATCAATACATCTAAAATATTTCGAATTTTCTATTAGAAAAAAAAAAAAATTTTTTCGATTAATTCCAGAACATAGTTCAATACTAAAAATGATCGATTTAGCTTATGGCTATGAATCAATTAACACTAGAATTCATAGGTACCCTTATCGATAATAACGGAAGCAGATGATAGTCATTCGATTGTATACTTATATATAAAAATAGACATTTTCTTTTTTTCTTGAAGCAGAAAAAAAAAAAAAAGAATACGTATTGATTACAGATTACGAAATCAACCGTTTAAAAATCTGATTAATATTTATATTATGGCATATAGATATATATAATAGAAACGTGCCACATCAAAGATTTTTATTGAACAGTTGTTCTGTTATTTCTTCTTGTCATATGAAGGTCAATATTATTTCTTTTTATTTTACCTCCATGAAGAAGTTCATAAGTACATGTATCAAAACCAATACTATTATTTGCTGTTACATTAAATGGACGAAAATGTTCAATTGATGTTGGTGTTATATCAAATGTATAATAAAAATCATGTTGATCACCATATGTTCGATGTATAATTGATGATGATAAACCATTAATTGAATACCGTATATATATCGGATTAGCACGTATAACAGTACAGTTAACTGTACGTGTTTGATTTATTCCACAATAGATTTTTTTTGATTTTTCAGCAACACTCGGACGGACTAGATAACAAATAGGATATATATATATATATATACAATAATAATGGATAAAAGTCTCTGCTTCAGTCGTTCTCGATCACTATATATGCTGAACGTATTTGTGCACCAGCACTTTACTAAGAATGTTGGTCATTAGCATTGCGGAGTTGTTCTTACTTCATTACACAGAGAATTTTGATGGATAGCACCTTTTTTTTTTTTGTTTTCAGCCTACTCTTCAGTATGTAATGCTATGTCTCAGTTATTCGACATTATTGATTTTATCAATTCTTTTAAAGATTATTGTGAAGAAGATATTAATGTTAAGATTTCAGAAATCTTAATATTCGAACAACTAAACTTATCTTTTAGATGATAAAAGGATTACAGCCAGAAGTTCAATTGTATATAAAAAAAAATATCAAAAATTAATTATCAATTTAATAAGAAATAACACCAAATTTTATATGCAGTCTTTTCTTAGGTTATACTGCTTAGAGCAAAAAAAAGTGTCGTTCATTATAACTCTTTTTTTAATTAAGCAATACCGGTGCCGTAAGGCCAATGACCTATATTCTTGATGAATTGCATGTATATACATATTTTCAAACCTTCAGTCCATACAGTGACCGAGATCGATTGGAAACGGAAACTTTTGTTCACTACTATATATATATATACATTAATTAACAATAGAATTTTATTTATTTAAATCTAATGAATAAATAATGATTTGTTTATAATGTCTCGATTTTCTTTTTTTTTAATTAAAATCAAACTTTATACATACATTCCATATAAAGTTGTTTTGTTGTTGATAAAATAAGTTTTTTATCAATATGTTTCATATCAACTTGACATGTTATATTACGTCCATTGTCTGATGGTGTTAAACCAATAATACGATAGGCTTCATAAACACTTGATTTAAATTGATCATTGACAATCGGTGGTGGTTGGATACCATTTGCTAATGCCATGATTGTTGGTATTGTACCATTTTTATCTAATGATATATCAAGTGCAGGACGAGGAGAACCATCGGCAGCACAAATAATATCCAATGGTTCACCCTCAATCATAGCTAAACAATTATTATTTTCATTTCCACAAAATTCATTATTATGCATATGAGTTGATGTATGCATATTGGTCAAGTATACGTGTTGAACGGGTACTAGAGACAATAAAAAAAAAAGAAAAGGCTTCATTCTATTTTGTTTCAATTATATATTGTATATGAATAAAAAAAAAAGGAATTTGAAGTGTATTTGTGTGTGTGTGTGATTCCATTAATCATTAATAGACGTTTCTTTTTATTTTTTGTATTTCGATAACCTACAAAAGTAGTTTATCTTATTCAAACTATCTATTATTATAGAGTACAATTGCTCGATTGAGAATAAATCATGTATATAATAAGATATTTTTCTTAGATAATAATAATAATAAAATAAGAGAACAATCTCTCTTTCGAAGAAAAATTTTCTTAATAGTATATGATATATGTTATGGATTAATGATAGAATTTATATGTCAAATAAAAACATTTTCATGCATAAATAAAAATACAATATGATTGCATCATTGATAATAAGATATCTTTTAGCATTATATTCTTTTTTTTTTTTATCTTTGAACTTACCATATACTTGAAGTTTTTGCCATTCAATATCATCTTGTGGACATTTATATTGACCACTATCATTTTCAATAACATTATTTATTCGTAATAAACTTGTACCATATGGATTTGAATAACGTTCATGTCTTGTTGGTTCAATAATTAAATTTTTTTTACCATCAAAACTACGATATTCATAAGCATAAATAAATGTTGTACGATTGTCACATAATTCAACTGTATCACCACGTTTAACATAGATTATTGTTTGTTGACCATAAGTTAATAATAATAATATAGCAAAAAAATAAAAAGAATAGAATAACATCAGATCATTATACATCATTCATCTAACAAATAGAATCAAATTTTTAACTTCTATGAAAAAAAAAAAAAAAAATGTCAATATAGATAGATGGATGGATGGATGTATGTTTGCGCTTAGAAAATGGGGTGGAGAAAATTGAAGAGTATTTGTTCAAAAGAAAAAAAGATTGATTATATGAATAATAGTAAAAAGAAGATGCTTACTCTACTATTATTATCAGTCTATAAATTTTGAAACAGGTAGTAAGTAATAATAATCTATTATTATATATAGTAAAAGCAGGAAAGATAAAATGAAACTAATTATCCAAAGCAAAAAAAAAAAATGTCGACTATCAACCTTGGGAATAGAAAGAATATTAGAGACAGAGAATAAAATCGTTTTCTCTTTTATATGTGCTCTATGATCATCATTCTAATCGGTTTGCATTTTGATCATGTATGCGAGAGAAAAGAAAAACCCGTCGGGTTACATACGACACTTAACGATCCGTTCACGCTCAACTATTAGTAATTGGTGCCGTCGATTACAGACAGCATACGCTTGCCGATTTATATACAATGAATAGTATATTTTTACTGTTCGTTTGTGCTACCCTCGTGTATATATATATATATGTTTGTTTGCAAGAACAGTAGGAGTAATAAGAATAAGACGATGATGATGATGATGACGAACTGTTGACCGTTCATATTGCACAACAGTGAGTGTCAATGACATACATACGGTCGACTTGTAAGAGCAGAAGAGAGAAAGTATAAGTTTGCAAGAATGATGACTGATACGATAACATGATTATGTGCATATATGCGTATGAGGAAAAAGTGCCAAAAATAATAATAGCATCCGTGATTCTAATAGGCTAGAGTGAACATTATTATACACTTAATGCCTCGAGAGAAAAAAAAAAAAGTGAAAACTTTGCAAGCAAAAAAAAAAAAAAAAGAAATTGACGCATTGTCACATACCTATGAATGACAGAAAATACATATTGACCATTAGCATATTAGATTAGTTATTTATTCGTGGTGTATTTTTTTTTTTCTGGTACTCCCAAATTAACAGAAACGTTAGATAAACATATAAGAACAGTATAGATAATGATCTGAGAATATTTTCTCACAATTTGTATATGTAGACGATGACGATCGTAGAGTATTTTCTCAATACCATGATACTACTATTTTTCTCCTTCTTCTTCTTCTTCTTAGTATTAGTATTGTTATAGAAAGCAAACAACTAGACAAGCATACTCATATCAAACACAGATGGGATGAGAATTTCTTTCTCAACGATTTTTTTTTTCTTTGCTCATTTCTATTCTACTTGAAAAAAAAAAAGATGACCAGAATCATTCGTACACCATTAAGACAAGAGAACAAGCAATGAATGAATGGATGGATAGCGTTGATTCTTTTGTCTCACAGTTTTTTTTTATTTGCTGTCGCTGCATCTATGTGCATTTGCTTCCATGTCTTAGTATGGTTGAAATGTACACACGCACATACACATATAAAGAATGACAGACAAAAGAACAAGATGAAAAAATCGTGCACACACGGTTGATAGATGAATTTGGATAATGAAATGAGTCAACCTATTGATGCATATGCCGACTAGTTAAAGCACGTCCATCCATACATAATAAGAAAAACAATAAGAAGAATAAAAGAAAAGGGAAATCATAAAGCATAAAATATAGAGGAAAAAGAATATTGTCATGTAACATGAGAGTGGCAATCAGTTCTCAACTATCTTGACGAGTCAATGTTAGATATGACACCATTATCAATTGTCCATATTCATCTAACAAAATACTCAAGTTTGCCCTTTTTTATTTTTTTTTCAAGAGATATTTAGTCTGGATCAAGAATATATCTCATTTTGCTTTTTATTATTTAAAATTTCAATTTTTTCTCGAATAGATCTAAATTTAATTATTTGCGTTTGTTCATTATTTAATTAATTCTTTGTTATCGAACGGAATTATGTTCATTTAATAAAAATGCTATAAATAAAAAAAAAAAATTCCTTCTATATTCGACTCGAAGCTAAAAACTAATTCAAGTGGTCACTTTGCAAACAACTCGTCCGAATGATGAAGGCAAAAATCTACATATAAACGAACGCAAGTTAATGACATACTGGTGATGATAGTTGACGACATGAAGAAGAAAAAAAAAAGAAGAAGAAACATTCAATTTGATTAGTTGCATGTTACTCACATTGATCGATGAGCACATCTCTCAACGTTTACTCACAGTTAAACATCGGCGTTTTACTGGTAGCATTACATAAGTTTGTGTATGTGCATGTGTGTCGTATATAAAGACAATAAAGGATTGAATTACACACTCAATATACGCAGGAGAGAATAGGCGTACCTGACGCTTCTATAGAATCGATATATCTACAGCATTGTGAAAAGACACAAACAATCAAAAATTGACTTTCACTCTTTTTTTTTTTTTGCTTTTAACACTATTATCGTTCATATCCTCATTTTCATGAAGTTTGCTTATTTCTTTTTTTTTTTCTGATGTCGATAAAAGGTTTCGAATGTCTGCAGAAGAAATAAAAAAAAAAAACGATGAAATAAAACAACTTTACTACCCTTTTTATCAATCATATATGAGCACGTATGTATGTATATATATATGTATTAATGTGCATTTTGCGGAATTCTGAAGCGAATTGCTATAGTCTTTGAATCAACAATATATTACTGAAGAGAACGAATGAAAAGTCAAAAAAAAAATCCAATCATCCATGAATTATTTATTTGTATCAATATATAAAAATCGAATATAATTGGTTAATAAATAAACGAATAAAAATTGATCAATATATTTAAAGGTGAATGCATTAATGATTATAAAACCATTCTTTGGGTTTTTTTTTTTCGTATTTCAGATCTATTTACTTTATTATAAGTTCTACTAGTTATTCACAATTATTCATATATTAATATTATTATTATTTAACGAAGAATATTTCAAATAAAAAAAAGAAAAAAAAAACAAAATCCATATAAAAGAACACAGAACGAGCAAGATATTATTGTGTGTTTTCTATTGTCACGTGCATTTTTACATATATATATATATTTTTTGATTATTTGGTACGATGTGGACGTTGTTTCTTTTTTGGTAAATAATCATGTATAAAGTTTTCTTTTTTTTTTCTCTGTTTTTACCCTATGAGTATTTATTTATATTCTAGATGGATTTTCTATCTATGACTCATCAATTGTTAATTCACTGCTGTGATGAAACGCAATGCTCACACGGCAAATTCCTCTTTAAACGAAACTAATAATAATAATAATAATAATAATTCTTCTAAACGTTGTTGCATTGAAAAAGATAATAAAAATTGTGTTGCAAGGTAGAAATTAATTCTCTATTTTCTATTTCTTTAGAATATTTTCTTTTTAAAAGTAATTCATTAACTGCATCTTCATCAACCATTGATAATATTTCATGTTCATTAGTATCATCATCAACATCAACTGATTTATTAAATATGGAAGAAAATATGGAAACATTAATTAGTATGGGTTTTACAGATCGTGAATTAAATCGTAAAGCATTAAATAAAGCTGGAAATGATATTGGAGAAGCTGTTACATATCTTACTGGTTCAACTTTTTTTACTGATGATTCTATTATTACAAATGAATCAAGATCAACATCAACATTTATTGGTCCACTTACAAAAGAAGAAATGGAACATCAACAACAACATCAACAACAACAAATTGTACGATTAAAAAAAAAAAAAATTTATTTTATTTTGATGTAAAATTTTTTTTTTAAAGGTTGCCTTAGATAATAATTCAAATGTATCTTCTGATGATTTATCAATGAATAATTCAAATTCCTTTACAACAAGTGCTTTTCTTGATCTTGAAACAAAAGTCTATGGAGATAATTGGTCTATTCCATATAAACGTAAATATAATTCAAACGAATATTTTTAACTAAATTTTATTTTATTTTTCTATTTGTTTAGGCGAAGAAGTTCTCGGTCGGTGTCTTTTATCCGCTACTAAACTTGCAATTGCTGGTAAAATTAATAATTTTATAATATCTTTTTTTTTCCTAATCTATTATATTTCTAGGTATTGCTGATCAAGATGAACATTGTAAAAAATTTATGGAAATTTTAATTCCAGATGCTTTTCGAAAAGTATCTTTTTTTTTTTTTTACTTTTTAAAATTTTTATTCATTTAATTTCTTGTTTTTTTTTTCTTCAAATATTTTAGTTACAATGTTCTCATCATGTTAATAATTGGGGTGTTGAAGTTCAATTAGGTGTATTTGATATGGTACAATTATTAATCGATTTAATTGCTGCACGTCTATCTTATTTCCCAGTACCTATACAATTACTTGAAACTTTAGCAATATTATTTGATCATGATTCAGTTTTTCAACGAAAACATAAAAGTAAACCATATGATCGTTCACTTTATGATAAACAATTAGGTGATCGTATATTGGCTAATTCATCATCATCAACATTTTCTGTTTATAATCGAAATGAACCATATGGTTGGCTATGTGAAATAATAAATCGTTTTGTTTTAAAAGATGGTATACAAAATTTAAAAGAACAATTTAAATGTGAACAACCCTTAACAGCTATTGTAAGAATAAAAATTCTTTTTTCTATTGTTCTTTTGTTTAATCTAATCAATTGATAACTATAGGAATACAATGCTTTACTTTCCCCATTTGTTAATTGTATGGATTATATATTCGTTGAAAAATATCGACAATTATTTAGTGAACATATTGAACAAGCATTAGATTATATAAAAAATTTAAAAGAAGAAGATTTTAAAGCAAAAGTTTGTTTGATTATTCTTTATAAATAAAATTATTTTTCTATATAAAATTCTTAGTCAACAAATTCAATATTTGAATTACTTACAACATTACGTAAAATATGTTCAGTTGTATGGACTAATCGTCTTGAACAAGTTGAAGAATTACATTTAAATTTATTACTT